AGTAGTATGAACAACACTATACTTAATGATGACAGGCAGTTTTGCTTATTTCAGTAAAGAACAGTCAATAAGAGGTCAATACAAGTAATGGATACAATCCATTGTGTGTGTAGAGTAAGGTCATGAGATACTGGGAGCTACTCTACCAACAATGAAAGAAAAACAGTTTATACAGAACCAGGTAGAGATAATAGTATAACACATACTGTATGGTCTTCCTTTACTAGTGACTATCTTTTGTATAGTATCAGGTGTGTAGAATGGAATAAGTGGGTGTGTGTCATCAGGTGACTGTACATGTATTGCAGAAAGTAGGATCACTGTTGAGGCACTCATTATGGCTGAACCAGATACTAGTCCATCAGTTTCATTAAATGATGGTTCAAGATCAAATGATTGCGATCTACAATAAGACTACAACACCATTAGTGAACCAGCAATGGATAGATTAAGTTAGGGGTGTGTAAAATGATGGGCCACCTTTGTAATTGAAAACTGGTTCATGTTTCGCCCCAACTTTCAGTATTTTTATAGAAAGTGATGATAGATATCATTAGTACAAGGAGAAGGTGGCATGTGTATGACAAAAGTAGGGGTGTGTAGAGTAAAAAAGCACACCTTTGATAATCATCATAGCTGGTAGTCTCAAACTTTCCTCCCCTCCATTCTTCTGAAGACAGCACTGAGAAGACCGTTCCTCAAGAATAGCTATGTCTTTAATAGGGTGTTGCAAATGCTCTCTTAAGTGGTTCTTTTACTGCCTATCCTTTGTTGCTTTTCAATGTGTACCAGATGTCAAGACACCAGATGTCAAGACACCAGATGTCAAAACAATGACACACTGTCGTAAAGTTGGTTGCTCAATCTTTTTCACAATATATATGTGGATATGTACCATTATTTTGGGATTAGCTATTAATCTTTTTCCAACTGTTCTACTTATAATGGATTGGTCTTTGTGCCCCATTAACTATTATAACATTTGCTATACACTTGAGTTTCACAGCAGTGATCCAAAGAGTTCTAAAGTCCCTATAATTGTATTAAGATCAGAAGATGATGATGGTAAGATATTTCTCTAAATAGCTTATCTATAATAATATTGCACAGGTGATTATCTTGATAGAGAAGACACACGTACAGCAGTCCAGCCATTCAATGATCTAGCAAAGTTCACATTACTTTCCATTTGTTTCTCCACCTTTGTGTCTTACTTCATCTTCATCATTGCACTGATAAGGCATTACTATTGTAATTACATTTACTGTTCAAAATGCAGATGTGATTATCAACGACTAGCTAACGAAGACAATGAATCAGGAGACAATGCCTCTGAATCAGGAGACAATGCCTCTGAATCAGGAGACAATGCCTCTGAATTAGGAGACAATGCCTCTATCAAACCTGTTCCCTATCCATTTGATAATGATGATGATAACTTTTTTATTACCATTGATGAGACAGAAGCTCACACTACATGTTGCTGTAAAAAGAGGCCTACTAATTTTTTCTATTTTTATTTGTTTCTTTTGACAAACTTAGTATTCTGGCTTGCAATGGTAATACTGTTCTGTATTACACAGTATGGAATCCACAAAGAAGTAAAAGAAATTGGCAGAAATATCACAGAAATAAGCAAAATATTAGAAATAACATCAGCTGCTGCGTATTTCTATTCTCACTTTTGTACCATGATGAGCTGCTTCATATTCTCAAAAATCATGTACGGAATTCAGAAAAAAATCAAAGAACAAAAAAATGAAAGCGAAAAAATAATCATTCCAAACAACAATGATGGTGAAAGTATAAGTGATTCAGTTAAACTACAAAAACTGATAAAAGCTGATGAAATTTTCCTTGAATGTGCTACAAAGGCACTTAGTTGCTTCCAGTTCTGGTTCTTCATTCATTGGATATTCTACATCATCACTTCATTCCTAACAATCGCTCTCTCCATTGAAGCTCTTCTATTAATCATCAGAGCAACACAGCACCACATTCAACCTGGAGTCCATTTCAGTGATGCAGAAATGTGTTTACTTGCCATTCTTTCCTTTTCAAATGTCCTCATGTTCATCTACCCATGCTTTCAGGCAGCAAGCATCACAAGAGCAAGGAAGAAATACATACGTGATTTGACAAAGAAATATGCCAAAACTGACAAAAAGGAAATAGTAGATTCATACGTCAAGTACCTGCAGAGTCGCGAATTTGGGTTCAGGTTATACGTTGGTTGTACCCACATTCCATTTAATCTCAATGTAGCATACACTTCAATACTAATTGGAGCTTTTGGTATTGTATTAAGTATACTGACATCTGTTGCTACTTAAAATATGTATTAGTTATTCTTTTTCTTGCTGCTGGGACTTAATTTTATTTTATTAATGCTGAAATTTAGTTTATTTTGAATTAAATAATTTCTTTAATGCAGATTATTTTGCTGATTGTGATTACCCAGTATTGCTAACTTTTTGCTGATTTTTGTTTTAATTTCAATGATTATTATTATTTTAACAAACCTTTTATGATTATTGGTAATTGATTCCATCAGTGATGCAGTGAGTGGTTGTATCCAGTGATACTGTATTGGTACAGTACGTGAGAGACTGAGATGTAGTTCAGACAGGAATGGTATCATATCTTGTAGAGACTTCTTTAAGAAGTCTCAAAAAAATTTGAGACTTAATGCTATGACTTATATTAGTATAATGTATTGTGAACTTTAATAATGATGAATTCATAACTTTATTAATAATAGCTATAGTATTAGTATTATTATTATTATTATTATTATTATTATTATTATTATTATTATTATTATTATTATTATTATTATTATTATTATTATTATTATTATTATTATTATTATTATTATTATTATTATTATTATTATTAGTTATTATTAGTTATTAGTTTTGTAGTTCATTTCCTAGTTTGCTGTTTATTTTTCAAAATATAATAAACTTTAAAATGCAAAAGAGAACAAACAATAATTCTACCGTGCCTAGTTGCAATTGACCAATCAGATTGCTTGATTTTAGGTTCATAACTTATTTACCACTAAGAGGTTTGATAAGTAAATTCCTGGGTTATTAATAGGAGGTTAATAAGTTTGCCCGGATTTACCCAACCTTTGGTCATGCTTTCATGTGGTCAAGCAACATGTTGCCTTGAATAGAAAACCTTTCTATTCCTCTCAACAAGGTTGAAAGAAAGATGCAACATGTTGCCTGTAGTGTATGTTGGGCTTTACAACACTGTAGCAACCATCTTGGAGATAGAAATCAGGTTATGCTAACCACAGAATACATACAACAACCATGACTATAAGGAAACCAGGCTTAATTATCATCAATGCACACAATGACATGTGATCCATTACTATACAGTGGTATGAACGAATCATGTTTTGCTTATTTCAGTAAAGAACAGTCAATAAGAGGTCAACTATATGTAATGGATACAGTCCATTGTATGAGTAGAGTAAGGTCATGAGGAAAAACAGTTTATACAGAGGCAGGTAGACTATGAGATAAAAGTATAATGTCATTCCATGCTGTGTGTAATTAAACCTGAAACTACTTTTAGAAATATAATACAATAAGAAGGTGTGTAGACTATCATAATGTGAGACAATCAGATATCTCCATCATTCAGTGAATAAGAGGTGGAATTACAAGTGTATAAGGGGTGTGTAAAATAATGGGCCCCTTTACTCATAGCAGCTAGTATGACAGTGTCTCTAGTATATATAGGTGTGTAGAATGCAATGACATTACTATTGACTGACAAACTATAATTGAATAGAACATAACAAGGAAGAACAACAATATGTATACCAGCAAATTTTCCTCTAGCAAGAGCTGATAAAGAAAATTACAATTAGATCTAGAATCTAAACTTTTATTACAAAACAATAATCATTAATTGACACCTGTATAAGCAGCTTGGGATGTTCCAGGCAGCATTGTAGAGTACTATGTATTACAAAACTAGAGGGTGTGTAGAGTATCCACAGCTTTGATAGTTATCTTATTTATGATAATTCTTTATTTCCTCCCTCCATTCTTTTGAAAACAGCACCAAGAAGACCATGGATATTAAGGCTAAAGTTATGTGTTTGATAGGAGCTTGTGAATGTCTTCTTATGTGGATCTTTTGTGGCCTATCCTGTATTACTTGTCAATATGTACGAGCTGTCAAAACCCAAAATGATGAAGATTCAAATAAAAAGAAAGTTTGTTGCTCAATCATTTTCATAACTTACATGGTCACATTGACCTTTTGTATTGGACTTTCTATTAATCTTTTTCCAACTGTTTTATTTACAATTGATTGGTATCTGTGCCCTATAAATTATTATAACATTTGCTACACACTTGAGTTTCACAGCAGTGATCCAAACAGCTCTAAAGTCCCTACAATTGTATTAAGATCAGAAGATGATGATGATGATGGTAAGATACTTCAATTCTTCTTGGTATTATAATAATATATTATATAGGTGATTATCTTGATAGAGAAGTCACACGTACAGCAGTCCAGCCATTTAATGATCTAGCAAAGTTCACGTTACTTTCAATTTGTTTCTCCACCTTTGTGTCTTACCTCATCTTCATCTTTGCACTGATAAGGCATTACTATAGTGATCACATTTGCTATCTCATAGAAGGCAAACAAAGAAGAAGGGGATATAAAAAATTAGAAAAAAATATCGCTGTACCCCATCCATTCAATGATGATGACAGCACAGAAGCTCACACAAAATTGAAGCTTACTCAACATTACTGTTTTTTCATATTTCTTTTGTTAAACATTATCTTCTGGGGTTTAGTGGTATTTCTATTCTTTTATGAGCAGTATGGAGTCTACAATGAACCAAAAGAAATTGAAACAAGTGGCAAAAATATGACAGAGAAAATCAAAGAATATGAAATAGCATCAGCTGCTTTATATTTCTATTCTCATTTGTGTACTATCATTAGTTGCTTCATATTCTCAAAAATTATGTACGGGATTCACAGAAAAATTAAAGAACAAAAAAAGAACAGCAGAGGAATAATAGACCTCATATCTGCCAACAATAATGATGATGGTGAGTGGATTACTATTGACAATGGTGAGCAACCTATCACTAATGGGAGAAATATTATCAATGGTGGAAAGCATAAGATCACTGGTGGTACTAATATTATTGATCGTGGACAGCATGAAATCAATGGTGGTACAAATACTATCAATGATGGACAGGAGCATACTATCACTAGTGGTACAAACATTATTAATGGTGGGCAGGAGCATAAGATCACTGGTGGATCAAATACTATCAATAATGGAGAGCGGCATACTATCAGTGGTGGTACAAACACTATCAATTGTGGACAACGGCATACTATCACTGGTGGTACAAATACTATTAATCATCGTGGACAGCGGTATGAGATCACTGGTGGGTCAAATACTATCAATAGTAGACAACATAATATTAATGATGGTACAAACACTATCAATAATAGACAGCAACATGGTAGATCAAATGGCACTCATGATAAGAGAATTATCAGATGCGGCACAAACAGCATCAATGACAGCTGTAATATTATCAGAGGTGGTACAAACAGTATTGATAATGGCTGCAACACTATTGAGGGAGGCACAAATAGTATCAATAATGGTTCCAATACTATCTATAATGGCACAAATACAATCAATAATGGTTCCAATACTATTTGTGATGGCACAAATACAATCAATAATGGTTTTAACACTATCTGTGGTGGTACAAACAACATCAATGGTGGATTAATAATATCACTAGTGGCACGAACAGCATCTATAATGGTTCTAACACTATCTGTGGTGGTAGAAACAGCATCTATGATGGATTGAATAATATTAGAGGAAATGGAAGTGAAAACAAAATATATGATGGTGAAAATAATGGTGATGGTATAGAAAATTGCACTGTGTATGATGATAATTATCATGCTGATAATACAGTAATCATCAATGAAGGTTCACAATCTATAGATTCTGGTAGATATATTATTAATGGAGGTGAACATACAATTGAAGGTGGTTTAAACACTATCAATGAAGGAATACATACCATCACTGGTGGTTTAAACACTATCAATGGTGGTGGTAAACATACAATCACTGGTGGGTTAAACACTATCAATGGTGGTGGTAAACATACAATCACTGGTGGGTTAAACACTATCAATGGTGGCACAAATACTATCAAAGGTGGTTTAAATACCATCAATGGTGGCAACAACACCATCAGAGGTGGTATAAACTCCATTCATGATACTTCAAGTAAACTACAGTTACTGATAGAAGCTGACAAAACTTTCCTTGAATGTGCTACAAAGGCACTTTGTTTTTTCCAGTTCTGGTTCTTCATTCATTGGATATTCTACATCATCACTTCATTTCTAATGATTGCCCTCTCCATTGAAGCTCTTCTACTAGACATCAGAGCAACACAACATCACATTCGGTCTGGAGTCCATTTCAGTGATGCAGAAATGTGCCTACTTGTCCTCTTTTCCTTTTCAAATGTCCTCATGTTCATCTACCCGTGCTTTCAGGCAGCAAGTATTACAAGAGCAAGGAAGAAATACATACGCCACCTTATAAAGAAGTATGCAAAAACGGATCAGAAAAAATTAGTAGATTCATACGTCAAGTACCTGCAAAGTCGTGATTTTGGGTTCAGGTTATACGTTGGTTGCACACACATTCCATTTAATCTCAATGTAGCATACACTTCAATACTAATTGGAGCATTTGGTATTGTTCTGAGTGTGCTAACATCTGTTGCTACTTAAAGTTAATGTGTGGTCTATTTTTGTGTGACTTATGAGTGAATATGGCAACTACATAATTACCATTTCTATTTTCTTTTATATTGCTGATGTTTAGTTTTTTTGTAATTTAAAATAATGTTAATTTTTGCTAATTGTGTTTATTGCTAATTTTTTGCTGATTGTTAAAATACAATAATAACAATTTTTGATATACCTCTTATGATTATTGGTGATTGATTCCATCAGAGATGCAGTGAGTGGTTGCATCCAGTGATACTGTATTGGTACTGTACGTGAGAGACTGAGATGAAATTGAGACTGGAATGGCATCACGTCTTGTAGAGACTTCTTTAAGAAAGACTCCATTACATTGTGAAACCCATCAGGGAATGTAACTAAAAATAGTAACAAGGAGTACCACTAAAAATACTAAAAATTGATACTACCTTGACATAAATTTCATATACTTATTATTATTATTATTATTCTAACTTGGTATGTATACGTATGTAGGCCAATTTCCTCTAACGTGAGCAAATGATCTTTTCCTTCCATCATGATCTTCAGCTACATCAATATGATCACCTATATCATGTACTGTATCCAGTATATACTAGAAATATGAATTAAACCTTCACTGAACATGTTAGCAATGGCACCAGGTAACTCAAGAGGTTTGGAAGTACTAGTAAAAATAATTAATAATACAAAATAATAATAATTGATTGATTCCTGGGTACTTTTCTTTATATTTCTTAATTACTGGTGGAGTCTCTTCACTGCCTGAGCTGTCACTAGATGAAGAATAGCTAACCAAATGCAATGATCTACTGTCAGCCATCTTGTTCAGTTGTAATAACTATTAATAACCACAACACGTGAGAGCACATGGTTAGATTGTATACGGTTTACTCTATTTATGAAGTGAACAAAGATAATTTTGAATCAATTGGTTTAATGATATTCATATATAGGTGTGGTAATTAATCACGTGATCAATTGTGGGTGGAGGAGTGTTATTCCGGGCGAGGCTCCTTCTCTCATTCCTTTTTCCTTTTCTCTTTTCATCCATTCTCCCTCTCTATCGCCTGCAATACCTCTCTAAAGAGCCATTGTTTTTAAACCAGTAAGCAGATTAAAACAACAATAACAGTATCAGTTTTAATACTATCAATGATTGTTACTACATGATTCCAGGGCCATTGGGTAATTGCGTGTAGTATTAGTGAAGACTTGGAGCAGTCATGTCTAAGTTTGGCGATGCAATGAGAGGACTCACCGTCTTCATATCGGACATCAGAAATTGTAAGTAATTCTGTACATGTACATATATTTACATGTATAATGTAATAATGTTCTATTTTTAAAGGTAAATCGAAAGAGGCTGAACGTAAGAGGATTAACAAAGAACTAGCTAACATCAGATCAAAATTTAAAAGTAAATAATCATCTTTAATATCACTATTATTGTACATGTACGTTGCCTAGGTGATAAGAACGATGGTTATCAGAAGAAGAAGTATGTCTGCAAGTTGCTCTTCATTTTTCTTTTGGGGAACGACATAAACTTTGGCTATCAGGAGGCAGTCAATCTTCTGTCAAGTATAAAATATTCAGAGAAACAAATAGTAAGAATCTCAGATATGTGTGTGTGTGTGAGTATGATCTCCCTCTCTCTCTCAGGGTTATTTATTTGTGACGGTGCTAATGTCGGAAGGTCATGAGTTGATGCCACTTGTGATCCAAGCTATCAGACATGATTTGGAATCACGCAACCCGATATTCAACGTCCTCTCAATGCAGTGTATTGCTAACATTGCCAGTAGAGAAATGGCCGAACAACTCGGGAAGGACATTATACCAAACATACTAACATCACCGTAAGATTATATTAATGATATTCATAGTGTTGACCACACCCCTTTAATATTCATTAACGCTATTAATATTCATAATATTTCCTTCTTCATTAGTGATTCCAATGCAGCTGTTAAACAGACCGCCTGCCTTTGCTTGTTGAAACTGATCAGAGTTGATTCTAAGATCATTACGCTTGATTCTCATGCTACCAGGATCGTCAAGTTCCTCAGTGACAGACACTTGGTAAGGATATACCTATTGTCAGTGTCACCTCTCCCTCTCTCTCTCCCTCCTCAGGGTTTGGTAACAGCTGCCTGTAGTTTATTAGAAGAATTAGCTCACACTCATCGTAAAACCTTCCAAGCCTGTGTACCTGACGTAATACAGAAACTAGCCGGAGTAAGAACATAATTATATCTACATTTATAAGTACTTCCCCCCCCCCTCTCTCTCTCTCTGTCTGTCTGTCTGTCTGTCTGTCTCTCTCTCTCTTCCTCTCTCTCTCTCTCTCATTAGATTGTCAGTAAGAATCACACTGATCTTCAAGATTACAGTTACTATTTTGTACCCGCCCCATGGCTTTGTGTTAAACTGATGAAGATACTAGAATGTTATCCTATTCCAGGTATGATTGTATACTACCTGTACATTATTAGTAAACTATTGGTATATTGTTTGTATATTATTAGTATATTGTTAGTATACTATTAGTATATGTCTGTATATTATGTAGAGGATCCAATTGTTAAGGCTAGACTTGTTGAAGCCATGGAAACCATACTGAACAAAGCTTCTGTAAGCTCCACCCCTCCTATTATTATTATTATTATTATTATTATTTATTATTTATTAATTTCCAGGAGCCCAGTAAATCAAAGAAAGTCCAGCACTCGAATGCTAAGAATGCCGTCCTCTTTGAAGCCATTAACCTCATAGTCCACATGGACAGGTAGCGCCTGTTTGCTATTTATATAACTGTCTCTATATTTACTATCACATCATCTTTGTTTTGTCTACCTGCATCACTCACTCTCTCTCTCTCCCCCTCCCTCTCTCTCTCCCTCCTCCCTCTCCT